GTTTCCAGATAAACGACTTATCTAGATAAACACAAGCTGCCCTAAACGAACCATACATCAAGGATCGGCTTTAAGCTTATATATTTTTGCTTTAGTTATGGATGGTCTTACTGGACATTTACAGGAGGATGTACCTCGATGTATGCTTTTTGTTGACGATATCCTTCTCGTGGATAAGAGAAGAGAAAAAACCCAAGAAAAACTTGAATTATGGGGTCTACATTGGAGTCTAAAGGCCTTCATTTGAATAGAACTAAAACTGAATACATGAAATGTAATTTTAGTAGTAGTAGCTCTAGTGACAAAAGTGTAACTGGGTGATCAAATTATTAAAAGGTGTGGATGATTTAAATATCTCGGGTCTGTTGTTCAAAGCAATGGTGATATAGATGGGGATGTTAATAGTAGAATTCAAGTTGTTTGGTTGAAGTGGAGGAATACTTCCGGCCTTTTGTGTGATAGAAAAGTACCGCTTAAACTGAAAGAAAAATTTTATAAGTCAGTGGTGAGACCTGCAATGCTCTATGGCGCTGAATGTTGGCCTTTAAAAGAGAAGCATAATACTAAGTGTTGTCGAGATGAGAATGATTAGGTGGATGAGTGGCTTTACACTTAGAGACAATGCAAAATGAATATATCTGTGATAGGGTTGGTGTAGCTCCTGTGACAAACAAAATTAGAGAAAGTCGTCTTTGATGGTTCATTCATATTAAGCGTCGACCATCTGATGATCCGATTAGGAGAGTAAATGTTTTAGATTTGACTTATGTTAAGAAAGGCAGAGGTAGACCTAGGAAGACTTGGGCTTATTGTATAAAAAATGATCTTAATTTATTAGAACTAAATGAAAATATGACACTAACTAGGACGCAATGAAGAAACATGATTCATGTAGCCGACCCCTCTTAGTGAGATTAAGGCTTTTTTGTTGTAGTGTGATTGCCTCATTTTCCCTAAGAACTTACCTTTGTTAAGGCTGGAGTTGCACAGAACTATAAATAGACAACAATGCATAAAAGCACACATACTTTTGAGTATTGATGTTCCAAATTCTCATTTAATAAACAATACAAAAATATAAATATTGGACTAAACTTAATTGGAATAAGAGCACTTACTAAAACATCCTCAAGTAAACACTTTGAGATCATAACGCTAATATAAGGTTCCGGAATTATTTTCTTAATTTCTTTGCTCTATTTCACAAGTTAAGAGCAAAAACATTAGTCAAATTAAAAAACTTGTCTATAATCCTGTGAAAAATGTGCAAGAGAGTAAGTAGTTCCAGACCTGTATTATCAAGAAAAAACAAAAAATCATTCACAGCAGAATATTGAATGCTATAAACCCTGTGGAAGAAATAGAGTTGCAGATTTCGCTTCAAACAATTAAAAAAAGGAAGATTTACATATACAGCACACAATTCCAATGTATTTACATATCTAACAATTAAAATTTAATTTTTACTTATATGCCACCTATGCAAAGAAAGGTGTATTGAATTTTAAAAATTAAAATGGTGCATTTTTTTATGTGATATGATAACTTTGAGCAGTATAAATGTAAAAAGGCAAAGTTTAGGAGTTAGATATGTAAATACATAAGAATTGGGTGGTATGTATGTAATTGCCTAAAAAAAGAACAAAAAGCTACTTCTGACGAAGATCTAAGAGTTGGCTTGCAAAATTTTTGCTATCTATACCCTAGAGCAAACACTGCCGTTGCCGGTCCCAAGCCCGGGTTGCGTTAGGTAGTCGAGAACCAGCGTAAAACTTGTCGAAAAAAATCATGATATGAATCCTTTTGATCATTGTGTAAGTGCTAGGGCGTCCCCTGGAAGCGACGCGCTGTATAGCCTGAATACAGTGAAAAGTGTGGAAGGGCCGCTACACCGGCGCCCGGGTGTAGTGTTAAATAAGCAAGGGTTCCTACATTACGGGCAAATGCGGGTGAAGAAGTTAGTCCATGAAACTAATGAAACTAATATTAGGATAGGATCTTGGAATATAGGCACTCTCAATGGTAAATTAATGGAATTAATTGATATTATGATTCATAGAAAAATTAATATATTATGTATTCAAGAAACTAAGTGGGTTGGAGAAAAGTCTAAAGAGATTGATAATTTAAGTTTTAAACTTTGGTATTCTGATAAGAGTCACACTAGAAATGGTGTAGGTATAATTATAGATAAGAGTTTGAAATATAATGTTGTAAAAATTAATAGAGTTGGTGATAGAATTATAGCCCTTAAGATTATCATTGATACTAATTTTTTTAATATTATAAGTGCTTATGCTCCTCAAGTAGATTTAGATACAGGGTCTAAAGATAAATTTTGGAATGACTTAGAAGATTTAAATGGACATGTCGGTAGAGTGGTAGAAGATTTTAGAAATATTCATGATGGCTACAGTTTTGGAGTAACTAATGAAGAATGTAGAGCTATTTTAGATTTTGTTTTAGCGTTTGATTTTGTTATTACTAATACTTTATTCAAGAAAAGGGATGAACATCTTATTACTTATAAGAGTGGATCTAATAAAACACAAATTGATTATTTTCTTATGAGAAGAAGAGATCGTCGTGATTGTAAAGATTGTAAAGTCATTCCAAGTGAAAATTTAAATACCCAACATCGTTTATTAGTTTTAGATTTTAAGATTAAGAGTTGTAAAATAAAAAATACTAGGACTCATCATTGCAGAATTAGATGGAGAAACTTAAAAGATACAAATAAAATTAATTTTATGAGTAAAATTCAAGATTTCAAAATTTGGGATATTCATGAAGAAGCAAATGTGATGTGGGATAAAGTAACAAACGCTATTAAACATGTAGCAAAAGATGTTCTTGGAGAATCAAAGGGAAAAATATTTACAAATAAAAATAGTTGGTGGTGGAATAATAATGTGCAAGAAAAGATAAAACATAAGAAGTTATGTTACAAAAATTGGTTTAAAAGTAAAAGCTTAGAGAACTGGAGAAAATTAAAAAAAGATATTCAACATAGGTGGGTGAGTTACTTTGATAAACTTTTTAATGAAGTTTCTGAAAATACGATCAACCTTAGTGATCTTAATATCGTGAATAATAATAAAACATTTCATTTTTTCCGTCGCATTAGCAAAAAAAAGTTGAAGAGGCTTTAAAGAAAATTAAGGATGGAAAGTCTGTAGGACCTGATGATATCCCAATTGAAGTGTGGAAATATTTGGGAGATTTGGGAGTTTCTTGGCTTACTAAACTCTTTAATATTATTTTAAAAACTAAAAAGATGCCTGAGGAGTGGAGGAAGAGTATTTTGATCCCCATTTTTAAGAATAAAGGGGATGCACAAGAGTGTGCAAATTATAGAGGAATTAAGTTGATGTGTCATACTTTAAAATTATGGGAGAGGGTAATTGAACATAGGTTAAGACGTATTACAAAGATTTCTCATAATCAATTTGGATTTATGCCTGGCAGGTCTACTATGGAAGCTATACATTTATTGAGAGGTTTGATGGAGAAGTTCAGAGATAATAAGGAGAATCTACATTTGATTTTTATTGATTTAGAAAAAGCTTACGA